ATAATAATATAGACTTGCACCAATTAATTTTTAATACACTATTAAATCTCAATCATATAAATGCGGCATTTTAAGGACGAATAGAATCGTTATTATGATTGGTGAGCAGTTTTCAGTACATTGCTTTGCATTTTTCCCACATTTCAAAGCAATTGATGCGTTTATAAACGACTACATTGTGAAAAAGTCAGTGGATGAGAAAATGTGATTAGCGCGGAGGTGGTTTGCATTCGATGCTCTATAAAACACAACTTTAAATTTCATTGTTCATAAATGAAGAGAATTAACCAATCTATTTTTATTTCTCTAGATTTACCATGAATCGTGAAACTCTACATTTTCATTTAAAATTCTTGGGAAAGGAAGACAAATTTAGTTTATAAAATGACGACATTTACGAATAAAAAAAGAAATGCATGAATGTAAAAAGAAATGCATAGTGGCCTCTACACATTCATATTTGGTCTTTTTATCAACCCAATAACAATAACTTTTTATTTTTTATAAACAGTAACAAAACGGTACACAAAATTCAGACTTCTCCTTGTTTTAATGTTAAAATTTGTTTATATGGGTATTTTTAGTTGCTACTTGAATAGGATTAATGTCTTAATGAATTTATGCTTCTGAAGAAGCACCACGAGTGAGCTGTGACCAAATGTAAACTTGATTTTATTTCAAAGTTTAAGCAAAGAAGCTCCCCGGCGACATGTTCGCTCTCCCCTGCAATCTCCAGAGAGCGAGAGTAGCGCTTCAGAGTCGTCATCAAGTCGCGAGCGTTGACGCTTAGAGGGCGTTCGTTCCGCGCCATTACCCTCTCGTCGCAGTCTCTCCTTCCGGACTCCGCAGTGTTGGTGGCGTCGAAATGGGTGGCTTTGGTGGCGGCGACGTCGGGGGCGGTAAGGGCGATGGTGGTGACAGTGATGTCAGCTGCAATGGTGGCTATAGCGGCTTTCAAGGCGGTGGTGGCTGCGATGGCGGTGGCAGATGTTTTTCTTCAATTCTTGATATCCAAACAAGGTTTTTTGTATAATTAGATGATGAAAGTAGTGTGGAAATAGTTTTAAATAATTATTAGAAAAAGTAAATATATTTATATATTTGTTTGAACTTTTGGGCTGACATGAAAATCATATATTATTATTATTATTATTATTATTATTATTATTATTATTATTATTATTATTATTATTATTATTCAGGCACTTTCTAGCGTGTATTTGGGGTAGAATCGGATCGAAACAGTGCGCTTGGAAGAGAAGATCATTTGAGCTCTCTCTCCTCATAAGATTTTTGGAAACACAAAACAAAAATAAACATAAACAAATTTTTAGTTTGGAATTACAAGTGTGATAATAATGGAAATATTCCTTTCAAACATAATTCTATCTATACGTGGCAAACGTTGTGAAAAAGTTGAATGACTTTACAAACTAAAGTCGGATCTTGGGCTCCACTATGACGTTCCTAGAGGTCCAGATCCATCTTGCGTTCTGTGGAAGGATGCAATGGTTTTGTCGTATCCTGAGGGTAATGGCGCTGGAGAGGGCAGTGCCGACGAGGCGTGTGGGGCTGGTATGTCCTTGAGGACGGTGAGGGCGACGAGCCTCGTGGCGTTGGCCACCCTGCGGGCGAGGACGCTCATTACGCTGTTGGGCCTCTGATGAGCGAAAAGGGTGGCCGTGACTCAGGCACGGTTGCCAACTGTTTCGTACCCTACCAGATTGTCTTCTATGAACATTGTTGTTTTATATGTGTAAGCGTCTTATTGTCCATGACACTACTTTTAATATCTGTTTTTGCAATAATGAATAGCAATAGTGTCAATCATTTATCTATACGACATTACGAATAAAGCGATAAACTAATAAAGAACATAAAATACACCACAAGAAGTACAACGTACACAGTGAATGGATAAGATTTTAAAGATTTGTGATCGATAACGCGATCGGTTAACGTGGTTCTTAAGGAGATGTAGGATGAACTTTTCTGTCATCGAATTTAACACGGTTCGTCAAAATTACTATTTCACTCGTGAAATTAAAACCAATAGTGTTTAATTATATATAAAAAATGCCCCAATGAGGGCGGTGTATCTCAAAACGTTTATTGTTTGTTTTTTTTCTATCTGATTTTTCTTACCGCTTCTTCCTACTGGCCAAACATAAACTGTGACTCAACTATCATAGGTGGCGGTATACCACATCGATCGCAATGTCGCATGTGACTTTAACATAGATTTCAGTTATTTTCAATATTTGGCGCATTTTGGATCTCTGTTGGACATACAAATTTCACTCATTGAATAGTCCCATTAAATACCCCTTGTGCTATGGAAATTCTGAGATAAATCCTCTCCTCGCCTCGCGAGACGGGAATTTATCGACAATTTAATTTTCAAAGCCCTCGTGGTATTACCTATGATCTCCTTGCTTAAACTTCAACTAGAGATTAACTTTTAGTTCATTCAGTATGAAGAAAGAACACATCGAAACTCATTTCACTAAAGTAAAGGTAGAGCGCATTGTGAAAGTAAGTATTCTTATTTAAAATGTGTATATTGTCACAATGTACTTGAAATTTTTATCTGTTGCGAGTTTGACAATACAGTAATATAACATTGCTTTACGCCAGCCATTCAGTTCAGTGATTTAGTGAGAGTGATGAGTGATGAAAAATGTATTTATTTTCCTACAAATTGGTTATCAATATTCAGAGAGAATTATGAACATACCTTGAAAGTGGTCAAAAACAATGTTTGTTTCTAAGAATTTTGAAATTAGTGTACCCCGTAATAGGGAAACTCAAGACACGATGTACTTTGCTTCTTTGAAGGCCTTATTTTAGTTATACAGAGAGTGCATGAGTTATAGAGCAAGCGAATGCAACTCGAGTAATACCTACTTTATACCGAGCTTCTTATTGTTAAGAACCGGAAGAGGAGGCTCGGGGCATCACAGGGAGGTCCTAGATTCGAGTCCTGACAGTGACAGAATTCTCTGCAGTAGCTTCGTAGTTTGGTCGAGTACTGTCGCGATCTGGAGAAGAATTTTGGAACGGTTGCTGTGATCGGTAGTTTTCCGTAATTTCTCCGATCAACACCCGGCACAAGCGAGAGCAATACCTTAAGAAACGGGCCACGGACCTCGCGCGATCTCACCTTCTTCCTCATCCTATCCTCACTCCTTACACACACACACACACACACACACACACACACACATACACGGACACACACTAACATGCACTACACTACCACACATGTCGGGAGACCCGGCTGAAGCTAAGACCTTGTTCCGAGTGGGGCGGTGCTCCACTGGTGGGATATTGGATGGGAAAAACCCCGCTAGTCGACGTTAGGTCGGCGCTGGATCTCACCATTTAGCGGAGGAAGATCACTACCACCTCACGAGCAAAAATCCTGTACTACACTTGTGGGACTAATGACCTTAGGAGTTGCCACACCCGGAATAACTCGTAATCAATCAATCAATCATGTTGTAAAGAAGTTCATTGTACAATTTTTATATTGAATGTGCGCAAAATGGAGCACGTGTAGGCAAAACAACGCCCTAAGTGAAGGGTTTTAACTAACTCTTTCTCTGCAACGAACCCAAATGGCCTGGCAGCTCGCCGGCGCAGAGTTGCAAAGCGGGGCGGTTGGCAGCGCCGCGCCGCGGGCGTGGCGGGCGACGTGGGCGGCGCGGCGCGGCGCGGCGGCGAGGGCCCGGCCGGGAAAGCAAGGGCCCTCGACCGCCCCCTCCCCCCCCCCCAGGGCCGTAGGGCGCGCTTGAAGGGCGCGCGAGGGCGGAGTTCCGATCCGGGAGTCAGCAATTTGCCCGCTCTTTGTAGGCTTCATTTCCTGCGTTGGAGTGCCCCCGTTGCCGGGGCGAGCGGGCCGCGAGGGCGGCGAGGGCGGCGCGCTGTCCTCGTGATTAACAAGGATCCTCAGCGCACACGCGGCCCTCACGCACGACGCGTGCCCTGCGTGCCGCGAGCACGCGTCGCTTCCCCCCCCCCCTCGCCCACTACGCGCCGCACCTCACGCCGGCCGGATGGAGAGGAAATACCTCGTGGGGTTCTTAGGCTTTTGCGGTGCTTTGAGCCTGCGGTGAGCCGCTTCATTTCAACCAACAATCGGCGTAAATGGAAAGATCGGTATTACTAGCGCCTAGAATAATAGTTGTAAATGCGGCATATGAAAACTTATTTTTGATAAATTAATTCAAATAACCAAACCATTAGGTGGAACACATGTGGAGTGCTAATACCTCACAATTTAATGTTATTTAAAATAATGATGTTGGGTGAATCTAAAAAAAAAACGTTGAAATATTTATTTGAAAGCATATGGAAGACATAAAGAATCGATTATTTACCTTGATAAGAATCTGTAAATGAAAATAGGAAGCGAATGCTTACCATGAAAGTAAAGACTCTTCCTTACCATGAAAGTAAAGAAATTTCATGGAAAATGAGAGGAAAAGCCATTAAATTACAAGTAATATTTTGCAACACGATGATGAGCTGATATTTTTAGAGTTTATGAAGGTGCAGAGGTTGATATCATTTATATAGTTAATGAGACACTGATGTCTACGTCTCAAATAATAATTTAATAACTTAAATAACATTTGTTTTGCCATTATCTTCAGCGATTAATTTTTCCAAAAATATATTGTATAGTGCATAAAAATACGTTCCATAAATTACTAAAGTACGTAAATTAATTTTTGCAGTGATGACCAGACTGATAATATTTAAGTAATCCTCGTAAACTTATGATTTAATTTTTGTAATGACGACTAAAAATCACAATAAAATTGCATAATTCAAGTTGAATTATGACATTTTCACTGAAAATGAATATAATTGTTCTTATAGTTTCAGTTTTGCAATATCCTCGTATGAGCATAAAGCAAGGAAGAGTGAGGGTAAAATAAAAACGCATTTTATTTAAAATTTTGCATAAAATTCATAATTACCAATACCAAAGAATGGCACCGAATGTAAGTAACGGTAGTATTTGAGTGTTCTGAGGTGTGCTCAGTTGTATCTATACGGGTAGTTTTTCTGAATATATTAAAATATTCTATTTAATATATTTAAGGATATTGGACATTCGGAAAGGTGTTTTTACATATTTAAAGATACATTTCTATTTAATTCTTTGCCTATAGTTTTATCAATTGTCATCGAAAGAGAGATGACAGTGGGCAATTCTTAGAATCTAACTCTCGTAGTACGCTTTGATGTATTGAAAAATTCATTAGTAGTAGTTTTTGATGCTTTAATTGTGAAGTCACAATTTGCATTGTTTTGGATATCTTGAACTAGTTTATTACAGTATAATCACCTGCTTAAATATGTGTACGTGGAACTTGCACTAATTCGGGTTATGATGGTCACACATTCACTGATTCAGGGTCGAGGTTACTTCATAAGTCATATTTATATGATACGCGTACATCAAAAATCATATTTTCTTTGACCAGTAGCTGTTAATTTATTGTATTGAGTTTCTCTTTCCTTAAGAGATTCACTTTCTTAAATATCTGAGGAAGAGGTTTGAGAGTTTTTGGATTTAGGCAGGCTGTATGATGCAACAGCGGTTAGATCGTGTTGTTGAAGCACACCTGGTCGATGCTGCTGATGATGGTGGTGGAGTTTTAGACGCTGTATTTGTAGTAAAACCTGATGATATTGATTTGGGTTTAAAAAGGGTTGATGCTGTTACCATTTGGAAACATTAACGGATTCAATGGCATGTTACTGTCAGTTTGCTTTGCTTCTTTTATGCTCTGGCCGAAGTCAGAGCATAAATGATCTCTGATGAATGAGAATGTGCTGCTGATGTCGATATATGAACACAATACACAGTTATAAAATAACTAATAAATCACAGATAAAACTAGTATACTATTTAAAGAGCACTTTTTGCACACGAACAAAGCCAGCATTTCCGCCGAAAACTCGAGCACCCAACGTGCACAGTACAGTTTCTCGGAGCAAACAGTGAGAAAGTATTCTGTAGCCTTTTCTGTGATTGTAATTGCACAATACCTTATTAAATGTTGCCATCCTGATGAAACGTTCATATCTCACGTGAAAGAAATCATCTGTGTGGTGCGAAAGACGTTGACAGTATTGTGATAGCGCAAAGGTACGGACTAGTCTGCAGCGCCCCAGGAAAGAAATATGATTCATTAGAACCGTTCCTGTATACCAGTAGATTTGCAATTTTTTCTGCTTCCAGAATACACACAATATGCTATTTAGTAGTACCTGGAAGGTACCGAATTAAACCCACTGGAAGACGATAATTGGATTTTTTCGCGGAATTCGATTCAATTTACTTCCATTACTATTCAGTATAACAAGAACCTACTTTCGGCACAGGGCTTTTTAATTAGGCCTCATTTTTGTAAATTGAATCCACATTCCATAATTTTTAATGGCATTGTATCGTACGTTGAAATCGCAAAACCTTCACAAAAACCTTCACTGCTAATAAGATGCTCCGAAAATTGCATTATATTACGTTTTCAATTCCAGTGAATAATTTTCTTAACACTTCAGCCAACGAGAATTGCGCTATGCGATTAAAACACTATATGGCAATGAGTTTCTGTATATTATTGTACTGTCCAAATCTGAATCGTTCTAGAGAGTCCTGTACCCAAATTACTCATTTGAACAAATATTTTCCTAAAGAGAATGCCGAAAGCAGACTTCCACTTATCCTGGAATTATAAAGAACTTCAGTTACACACGATCGATTAAAAGGACACTGCATATTGGAAGAGACTACGGAACTCTCAGCATCCTTATCCGACACTAAAAATGTCCTCTTATTTCTAATTTATGTAGACTATACCAACGTTGAAATATGCATTAATAGGTTTTAAAATATTCCTTTTTAAGTCTAATCAGAAGTGAATTATACGGATTTATTATTTGTGATTTAATAATGTCAACAACACCTCATCAGCATTACCACAACACCAAGAATTTACCGAATTCGGTTTTGTTGCTGCACCGATTATTTATTTACAATGTAAATTTGGCCCGCCTGGGGAGCCCGGCGCTCATACAGGAACGGGCAACTTTCCTGGCTCAACACGCATTTCCTCTCAAAATCCAGAAAGGGGTGTCCAGGCGCGTGCTGAAGCGGCGGTAAATAGTGGCTTTACTCGAAAATATGCTTCCCAGATTTGTTCTACCAATCAACCAAGATTTGTATTATGGATATATAATTTACGTCTGCTAATTCATGTTTATTTTCTTTGTAAATCCTGCCTTTTATAAATATTTTTGCTGTCAGAACTATGTTTGAATGAAGAATTCTTTCCTTGTTTTCGGTTTAGGTTGTGTTTTATGAAATAATTTACTTTTTTGAGGTACTTTTCAATTCTGTTAAATAAATTAACAGTTGATGTAAAGTAATAATTTTCTATAAATTAACAAGTCTCGCTTACAGGCGGACATTCTTTTAGTAAGACAGTTCTTTTATATTACAAAAACCTTTTTCAGTTAAACCTTTTATAAGTATGTAGGAAATTATTGCAATAATTGCACTTCTAAGTAAGCCGAATCAAGATACTATCGATTCAAAAGATTAATATTAAACTCAGTTGACAATATGAAATCTGAGTGATGTGTTATTTTATTTTGTTGGATCATTTCTTTACTTAAGTAGACGAAAGGGTAATTAATATAGAAAAATTCGGGACAATAACTGGCAACTAATTTCTCTAAACACAATCATAGGCGAAGTATCCAGTAATGGACCGATACTCCGGAGCAATTTGTACGGTTTAGATTTATTTATTTAGATTTCGATTTCTTTAGTCTAAAAACATTAAAAAACTGTATGTGACGTTTGGGGGAGGAAATAATCTGCGCACGTTTTCTGGAATTCCAGAAACCCCTTCCCATAATTTTAGCTATAAATAGTTGAAAAATAAATAAAAGTTAAAAACAAATTTAAAATAATAATAGTAATAATAATAATAATAATAATAATAATAATAATAATAGTATTTTTTAAAAAAAGCGCGACAGTAACGACATTTGAAAAACTAAACATTTTTGTTCTCGAGTTGCAGAAAACTTATTTCTAACGGTTGAGACGTTGAGCTGTTGCGCGCATCAGTAAACGAGGCATCATGCGAAATACCGTTACAGGAATACGCACCTCTTTAACGTTAAATGGGCTAAGTTTTACGTTATTTTTCTCATTAGACGCTACTTTGTAAAATTTCTAACGAATTCTAATGTCAATGCGTGCTGTTATCATTAAATTCCCAGAATCGCACATCATTTTTTTGTGTGTATTTCTTATTCCAACTTATTCCTTTTTGTTTTTTCCCCGCTATCTGCACATACTACCGTTACAAGTTGGAACCACTATCATCATCGTAACATTTATCGTACTCGTTATAGAATATGACACATTGGGTGCAATATCACATTCAATTGCAATCGCGTACATTTCAATTGGTACGCCGTTTTATATTTATTTTGATATAAGAAATATATTTCAATATTCGTTTTTATTTTAAATAGAAAAACGTCTAAGTAAATACATCCATGCTTTGCAAATTGCCACTCACCGCCCCAATTTCTTTGATTTACGACAATTTCCATTATTCATTTTCGAAAGCATTCCGAGAAATACCATCGAAAAGTTTTTGATGCTCAATGGAAAACACGAATATTGATTACTTCTTCCCGTGTAAATGCCTCAACAACCCGAAACCCCGAAGTTTTCAGGCTGTTTCTTTCACTACGACTTCGTAACTCGAAAGCGAGTTGGATCGGGGAGTTAGTTTCCTGCGTGTCACGTGCTTTCCGGCATCGTGTAGTCCGGGCGCGTGCCCTACCGCACAAAGGATCGACGGGGTCGAGGGCAGGAGGTGGTAGTTAGAGACCTTATAAAAGTGGATTGCATTTAAATAATCTTTTGATTTAAAACTCCAAAAGTTTTCGTTTAGAAAGAAACATGAACTTTCTATTAAACCAAATTTGGTGATTTTTGCTTTAAATGAAATGTGTTATGGCTTGCAATTATTCATCGGATAGATACTACAAATATTCTTTTTTAATAAAATCGTAAAATTAATAGAATAAAGGTTTATCTGCCTTCATTTTTTCCATACGTCATTTTCATTAGTTTTTTTTTTTTTTTTGCGAATTGCAAAAGCAGTCAATATTTCAGCAGTCAATGCACGAGCAAGCTTGCATGAGTGTGTGTATTTTTATACATGAAATAATATACTTCAATACTTTACTGTCGGTGAGCGAAAATAGCGAGTTTTTCTACTTCGAAGATTGGATATTTTTAATGCAAAATTTAGGGAGTGTATAAACGCAATGTTTGCCAGTCGTCTAACGTGTGTCCCTTTACAAACAAATCGCAATATTTTATTTACTCGTGGTACATTTCTTTTTTTAGTAAAGGTGGATGGAAGGATATTCTACAAAATCCACTACAATACACATCTTGATATATAATATAATCTATTTCAAAGTGCGCTTGAGGCATTTCAAATGCTGTACATTATAAAGATCATATTTAACTGTGTACACAACTAATAATCACTGTAAACTCTCTCATGTTATTAAGTTTGGTGAATAAGTAATGAAGGACAAGAAATATTTTTTAGTCTTAGATTTTCCATTTTATCGCGCAATACAATATTACATAAGTGATACGTTGTGCGAAGGAAGGTAAGTAGGTCAGAAGTATTGCAGAAAGTTAATTCATCTGCAGATAATGATAACTGAGGTATTATTTTGTTCTGGGACGCGTAGGGGAAACCACTTTGTTGGTAAAATGCCGCGTGATTATAACCTCATTTGAGAAGAACTGGAATGAATGATTTAATTGTGTGGTATTACAAGAAACTCTCCCTTTGTCGGCAGAACATAGTCACAATTTTCTTGAAGGTATTTTGTGAAAAAAAAAGAGCAGCCAATTTACAGCCAAATAATTTAAAATTTTTCGATGTCATTTACACTCGTGCTAAATATGAAATTGAATACTTTTATTTGACATATATTCCTTGGGACATTGTTTATCCAACCGAATAATCGAAATCGTTTAATAACTGTTAGTTTTTACACAAGACTTACGAATTTCTGGAGAAAAATTACTAAATAATTGTATTTTACAATTATTTTAAGAAAAGGAGTGATTGCAAGAATTTCCCCAAAAAATTTCTAAAAGAGATACTTCTTAAGATCTTCATAAGAAGTAACATATCATTTAGGCGCAAAGAACCATGACAATTATTGAGTGTAAAGTTAGTTCAAATTAGTTTAAATCAGAAATTTACATTTGTAATATTCCATTTTCTTCGTTACGTCACTGTTGTAATACAGTGAATGTGTAGTACTTTTCTATTGTACCTTTTCTACAGCTATTAGTTTTGTTTGGTGTAAATGTAAGGGTAGGTCTAGCTGAATTGTGACGGAGAGGTCGGCGGCGAGGGCGACCGGGGCGTCGTGACGGAGCGAGGGCGTGGCCTAATTGAAAGGCGGTGCGCCCGGGGACGTGAGTAGCGGTGCGGCGAGCGTGGCAGGGGG